TTTGTTATGAAAAGCCGCTGAAAATCCTACAAAAAAGTATCCTTAGAGGAAAGAGAGTGTATTTCACCCAGGGGCATTAAGCTCTTCTATAAGAAGAGCTGATCTCTAACTGATCACTAGCTGATCACTGATCACTAACATGTTGTTAGAGGTTGAGCCTTGTGTGCTTCTGTAGAAAAAAAAAAACTTCCCTTTAAGATTGGTTGCCTACTTTGAACTCCATCAAATATGGTAAGGCACTCTTGGAATATGGGTAAGTGTGTGGTATGAAGTGTCACATGGCCACACATGTGGCCACGCAGTCCAGGAATAGGTTTACTTGCGGGTGAGGCTCAGCCAAGTGTATAGAGAGTGGCAGTGAATGTGGAGCTGATTGAGTTCTGGAGGTTTTCGACTGTCGGGGTTGGGTCCCTTGGGTCGGGGAGGGGTCTCCCCCTCTCCCCTCTGGGTACCCTGAGTGAAACAGCCTGCTACGGGGTCCAGTGGCATGGTTATGACGAGTGTTATGTCTGGCCTCAGTTTTTAACTTCCAATCTTCCTTGATTCTAATTTTTTCAAGTTCATTGACATTGAAATAATACTTTATGTCTCAGATCTTGTGCAGAGATCTTTTATTATCTCTTGTTGGGTAAAGTAACTTAAAACTTAATGGCTTTTTACAGCGTGCAGGGATTGGGTCAGTTTTTGTGGGCCAAGAGTTTGGTAGTGCTTAAATGGTTGTTTCTCCCTGAGGAATCTTATGAGGGTGCAGCTAAGTTACAGTGGTGTTTGCCTAAAGGCTCAACTGAGGCTGGGGGTCTGCTTCTAAGGCATCACACCCCTGTGGCCAGTCATATTTCCTCGTCACATGGTTCCTGGCATAGCCGGTGGCCTGGGAGGGCAGTGCACTGTCTTGAAAATCATGGCATCACCATTTCAACGTGGCACATGGTGCTCTGGCCTCTATTGGCCAGCGGGGGCAGGAATTGAGGTATGAAGCTTTGGGGAGGTGCTCTTACAACTCAAGGACTGAGAGAAGGTGTGGGGTCAGTATTATACTCAGGAGTAATTGGCGGTTTGTGTTCTCTGCCTGAATAACCATAGGCCAGCATTAGGGAATTGTGGAACATTGTACCCAGTTTTTAGTGGCCTTTTGAGGCTGACCTCTGTTTCTGTCCTCTTGAAGCTGAAGTTGCTCCTTCCTAGTGATGGGTAGCATGCACCTGTGCGTTGGTTGGACTTGCTGCCACTATGCTGTATTGCTGCTCTCCTCAAAAAGCTCAGGAGTCCTGGCAGTGACTCTTTTGTTTATTTTTTAAGTTTTGGAGCGACTACTGGCAGTGCTCAGGGCTTACTCCTGCTTCTGGGTGCCTAGGATTGAACCTGGGTCTGCCATATGCAAGACAAACACTCCACCCTCTCACTATCGCTCAGGACTGTGGTTCAGTGCCTGAGGCTACGGTGGTATTCAGGCTCCGTCATGTTGGTTTACCTGGACCACCCAGTCATGCTTAGGGAGCTCCAGGGCTGCAGCCAGTGATGCGTGGGACCATGAACCCGGATCTAGGTATGTGCCCTGACCACTCTATTGGACCCAAGGCCTCACCCCTACTAGACATGAGCTCTACCCTATATAATGTCCCTGGCCGACGACTTGTCGGTTTCAGTGAATCACCTTTATTAACCTTGGATGGTGGCCAAACTAGCCCATTGCTCAGAGTCTGGCAGGGATGAAGGGTGAGCCTCCAGAGGGAGAGCAGATTGTTCCCCAGATGTCCCGGGAATGAAGGAAAGCACATGGAATTGTAGTTCAAGTGTAAAAAGGACTGAGGGGAATTGAGCCCAGTTGGGAGATGCTATGCTCAAAAGCACCCAAGGCAGAGCCTGCTGTGTTTGTGCTGCCAGAAACAAGCCATCATGGCACCTGTGTGCAGAGGCACGAGGAAGGGTGACAGTGAAGGAATAGTCAAGGCTTTCTGAAGTGTGCGCTGTACTCTTGTCCTTACCTCAGGATAAGACAGATAGGACTGAGAGACACGACTGCTGGAATGGCGGGGACCGGAATGTTCAGGAGGGGAGTTGCCAGTTTAGCATGTGACTCAGGTTCAAGGAGAGGGATGCCGTCAGGGGGACACAGGAGACATCGGATATATTGTGGTCTGGGACGGTGATTGAGGAGGGAGCTAGTGACAAATGAATATGTTGTGCTTGAGCATCTCTAGATGGAATATTCTAGAAGGGAGCGCGCAGGGACTCTGTAGCTTTGCACAGAAACTTTTGCTGCATGAAGATTCGAGACCTTGACCCTTAAAGAGTAGGGCGTCAGTGAACTCAGTGCTTATACAGAATGGGATGACAACCAGGCGGGACAGAGTTCTACTGGGCTGTGAGGAGAGAAGGAAGCGGGTGGTGTGGGATAGCCAGTGACTGGGCAGTGGGAATATCTGGCACACAACTGGGGGTGGAGTTGGACTGGGAACTGCAGACCATGAGGTGCTGTCCGCAACTGGGCTAGTCAGAAAGACCTGTCCAAGGGGGCTGGAGAAATAGTACAGCAGGGAGGGCACTTACTTTGCATGCAGCCAACCTGGACTCAGTCCCCGATAATCCGTATGGTTCCTCAAGCACCACCAGGAGTGATTCCTCAGTGCAGAGCCAGGAGTAATTTCTGAGCATTGCTGGCCATGGCACCAAAACCAAACCACAAAACAAAAGGAAAGACCTGTTCTAAAGCTCTGAGCATGCAAAAGACCCAGGCAGGAAGGTACACTCATGTGACTGTTTTTGGCATGAGAAGGGGACAGATGGTGAAATGGGAAGCATAGGAAGCCGTTGTGAGTAGGGCTTGGGGTAGAGATAATGGTAGTAGCAGTTAACAGCCCGTGTTAGTCCACCACCACCTGTTTCCAACGTCACTGGGGAACAAGAGTGACACTTTAATTTTTTTATTACTAGTTTTCAAAGTGACTGTCTTTTTTGGGAGTGGGGAGGTCATACTGACTTCTCGGGATTTAAACTCCTGGCTCTGTACTCAGGACTTACTCTTAGCAGTGCTCAGGGGACTGTGGGATGCTGGAGATCGAACCTGGGTTGGCGACATACAAGGCAAACGCCTTCTCCACTGTCCTGTGGCTCTGTCCTCAAGTTAACTTGCCAGTCTTCACATCACTGAGGGGCACATCAGATTTGAATTTGGCTTCCCGGTCAGTGTGTTGAGGAGTACGCTGACACAGTTGGTTGACCTCTTTTGAATAGTTCTTTAGGGTTTTGGTTTTCAGCAGTTGTGAACTTTTGCTTTTGTAGCATAAAATCAGCCATTGACAGTATGATTGTATGCCCGTGTCTTGAGTTCCAATAAAACTTCATAGATGTTGTCAGTTGAATTTCCTGTAATTTTTATGTATTGTGATAGATTTTAATTAATATATATTTTTTGCTTTTTGGATCACATCCGGCGATGCGCAGGGGGTTACTCCTGGCTCTGCACTCAGGAATTACTCCTGGCAGTGCTTGAGGGACTATATGGGATGCTGGGAGTCAAACTCAGGTTGGCCGCATGCAAGGCAAATACCCTACCCACTGTGCTATTATTACTCCAGCCCCAATTTTTTAAAAGCTGTTTTTTTGCCCTTCCCCCTTCCTTTTATTGTTGCAGTGTCCAGGGCTCACAGACTTGCTTGCACTCTTGTGGGGCAGTGATCACAGTCAGGGAATGGTGGTACTGAGTACCAAGTTATCGATCTCATGCCTGCAGGGCAGGCACTGAACCCCTAAGGCACGTCCAGGAAGGAAAGATTCTGAAACCCCCCTATTGTGTAGTAATGGAAAATATGGTCTTAGTGCATTGCCCAATCAAAAGCAGAGGGTGGGTCAGATTGGCCTCCAAGCAATCATTTGTTGATTCTTGCTAGCCCTGGATCACAATTCCCGGTTTTCTGTCCTGTGTGCACGAAGCACAGTTGCCAAGTACTCAGGGTTGAATTAATCTGGGTGTAGTCGGTAAAATTTCCAGGTTTATAGCCAGGTTGAGGGTTCAGTCATCACTTTTGGGTGCACAGGAAGCTCCAGGCCCTGTGTGGAATGACCAGAGGGGCTCTTGAGTGGCCCTGCAGTGTATGTATTGGCCTGGGGTAGAACAGAGCTTGGTGTGCTCTCTGCTGTGCCTTCATGATCTGTTCCTCAAAGAGCAGGTCTCACAGCCCAGGAGAAAGCCAAGCCAAGATTTTTACTTCTGCTCAGAGCTGGTGTTTCCTGGGGCCTTTCCTGCTATTGATCTCTCAAGGATGCTTAGAAAATCACAAGTTAAAATTGAGTGGTTTTGCAAAAGTGTGTTTTTCTTTTACCATTTATCATCTCTTTCATTACGTCAATATAGTTGATTTTTTGCCAGTGTTATTTCCGCTCAGGACTTTTCAGTGAGTTATTGTATTTTTTTTTTTGTTACACTTTTTGGGTCATACCCAGTGATGCTCAGGAGTTACTCCTGGCTCCAGCCCCGAATTACTGCATCATTTTACTTTTGTTCTTGTTTTGTGATCATATCAGTAGTGCTCAGGGCTTACTACTGACTCAGCACTTAGGAATTACTCTTGGCAGTGCTCAGGGGACCATGCCAGAAACTGAACCTGGGTCAGCTGTGTGCGAGGCAAACACCCTCCCCACTGTACTGTCACTCTGTCCCCTGTTGCATCAGTTAAGCACCATTTTGTTTCAGGTTTTGGAGAACATAGTTCTGTGAAGTAGGAATAATAATGCTGTATGAAGAGTTCTGATGGGTCACATATAGAGTTTTGTGTGAACCCAAACTTGAGGGAATTTGGGGCTACACAGCGGGTAGGGCGTTTGCCTTGCAGGTGGCTGACCCGGGTTCGATTCCCAGCATCCCATATGGTCCCCCTAGCACTGCCGGGAGTAATTCCTGTGCATCGCCGGGTGTGACCCCCCCCCCAAAAAGGAAAGCAAACTTGAGGGAATTTTAGGTGTTGGCTGTCTCAATCTCTTTTCCTTTTTCATTCTCACAGGTGGTTGCAGAGCACCCAGATGCCTCAGGCGAGGAGATTGAAGAGTTGCTTGGCTCCCAGTGGAACATGCTCAACGAGAAGCAGAAAGCGCGCTATCATACAAAGTTTGCCCTGATGGCCTCTGCCCAGGCAGAAGATGACTCTGGTAACCCTAAAACTGTGCTAGTGTACTCCATGTTGTGTGGTGTGTGTGGGGCCACACGCTGAGCCAAACTTGAGGGAATTTTAGGTGTTGGCTGTCTGAATATCCTCCTTTCCTTTCCAAGCTGTGGGTGTGGGGTGTGGGGGAATGCACACTGAGCCATAGGTGTTTGTGGGGGGCTGCACGGCAAGCTCCAGTCTCTTGTGACCCTGTAGGACCGTGGCTGCTCTCCCCAGCTCTGACCAGTTCGATGCATGTACTCACAATAAAGCAGCCTTTATATCTGTGAGAGCTGTTTCCTGTGATCTTGTCTGGCTTGTGTCCCTGTGGGGCAGGGACTAGCCTCTGCAGCTGATGGGGTGATGTGAGGGAAGGTGCAGAAGGAAGGGGGGTAGGCAGCTCCCTATAGGGCCAGACTCAGGCCTACAAGTCCCCTCCCTGCCACACTGCGCCCTTCTCCCAGTTCTCATCTGCAGGCTGAGCACTGACTGAAGGGGGCAATTCCTGGCCTGTTTGCTGGAGAGGGTGACCCTGTCCTGGTCTGAGCTTTGGGTATCTCAGCTCTGCAGCTCAAGGCTGAATATGCTGCTTGTTCTGTGTACTGGCAAGCGAAAGGAGGCAACATTATCACCGTGGAAGTGTTGGACAGTGGTCACATTTGCTATCAGATACGGAAAAATGACTTTTTTTATGTAAAAAGAATTGATGTATTTCGTTATACAAAATAAAAAAAAATTCTGTATGTGTCAGGGTTCATCATTGAAGAGTTCTGGAGAGGCCAAATATAAATTGTTTTTAGACTCACCTGGAAGGAGTTCGAGACCTAGAAGGAATTGTAGTTTGTCCTGTGTGTGCTGGCTCATGCTTCCAGATCACTGTATATTTGATTGGAATTGCATGTAATATGTCATATGACCTTTCTGTTTCTTCACAGATACTTCGTGATTTTAGGAGTTTAGAGCACTATGATCAACTTCCTTTTTTTTTTTTTTTTTTTTTTTTTTTGGTTTACACCTGGCGATGCACAGGGGTTACTCCTGGCTTTGCACTCAGGAATTACTACAAGCGGTGCTCGGGGGACCATATGGTATGCTGGGAATTGAACCCGGGTCGGCCTCGTACAAGGCAAACGCCCTACCCACTGTACTATTGCTCCAGCCCCTCCTGCACTGTAGCACTGTCCTCCCGTTGTTCATTGATTTGCTCAAGCAGGCACCAGTAATGTCTCCTTTGTGAGACTTTGTTATTGTTTTTGGCATATCGAATATGCCACGGGGAGCTTGCCAGGCTCTGCCATGTGGGTGGGATACTCTCGGTAGCTTGCCGGGCTCCCCAAGAGAGACTGAGGAATTGAACCTGGCTCAGCCTTGTGCAAGGCAAACGCCCTACTGGCTATGCTATTGCTCTATCCCCTCCTAGTTTTATTAATATTAAGTCTTGCTTACTTGGCTCAGTGTTCATTGCAAATGCTCTAATTTAGAATAGTGAGGATGTTTAGGATTTGTGTACTTTCTTAAAATGTCTACCTGACTTAATTCATTTGTTAAATCTGGAAAGGCATTCTTTTCTGATAATTTTTAAGTGAAACAGGTTTTCCTCAGGTCAGATTGAGCTTACTTTTTTGAGTCTATGTGGATTTGATTATGCTGCATTGGGTCATTTGGACTGTGTTAGTGGGTCAGATTTTGTCCTCCTGGTGTCAGGTGTGGACTTAATTGTTCCTTGTCCCCTTTAAATCTTATTTCGGAGAGCTCTGTGGGAATGACCAAGATAATGGGTCACATTTATGTGTGGGTGTCTGTTCTCTCAGTGTAGGAACTCAGATTCAGGGGTGCTTTCTTTTAAGAGAAAACTGTCTCCAGGTTGACTCAGGCCATTTAAAAGGATCGTGACTTTGCCACACATGGACATTGGATGCCAGGAAAGCACGGCGGCTGGCAAGTGTCCACAGCTTAGCAAGCATAGTTGCAAGGACAAGCATGGATAGGAGGTTCTGGTAGAATTGGGTTGGCTGTGCACTCTGGGAAGTAGCTAAGCAGATCCCACTGACCACCTCCCTGTAGATGTCTTCTGGGTGTCCTCTGTGTAGTGTGCACAGCTTGTGATGAGGTGGCCAAAAGCAGAGCTCAGCAAATATGTTTACTGAGAGGTCCACACCAGTATGGCCAGTAAGGGTCAGTGGGCCTGTTTGTTTGGCTCTTTTCATAATATCAGATCAGCAGCTAAGGTAAGGCCCTGTGTGGATGGCCACCCTGGGTAGAGCCAGCAGAGTGCCACTGCCTGTATCTCCTTGAGACACCTCTCTTTGGGGTTACACCTGCCACCATAGAGCTGAGCACTCCGCCAGTGTGCTCTGGCCTATCAGGTGAAGCTGCTCTTCCCAGAGATGTTTGACAGATAACCAGGATCTGACCTGGACTTCTTTAGTCGTCTTGCAGATGGCCGTGCTGGCACATTTCCATCAGCATCACTCTAGAACCTACACGCTTACTGTATACCCGTTATTCTCAGGCAATACTGCTTGGACAGCTTCAGTCTTGCATGAGGGACGCTCTTCCCCCCCCCCCCCCCCCCCCAGAATGTATCCGAGCATGGCAGCATGAACATGGAGAAGGCGCTCAGCACTGCATTTGCAGACACAGACACAATTTTGCTACTTAAACTGATAGGGAAATATATTTTAAAATCTCAGGCTTAGTAATCATAGGTGCTGGGGCCAAGCCTGCTAAGGAAGTTCTGGCAGATCAGACTGGCTGTGCTCTGCGGGCTCATTTCGTGTATTGCTCACACACACTGCCCGATACCCTGCATGCTGCCTTTTGCAAGTTGTTCTACGTTTTTTTAAAGTTCATCTCAAATTTCTGTGGTCTTTCCATGTTATAAAGAACGTATTGAAAAATACGGGGTTATATTCAAATTCAGTGCTGTAATGCATTAAAATACAATTTAAGGAAAAACCTGCAGAGCAACTAATCAGATAGGATTTTTTCCAGCATTCGATGTTAGTGGAAATGGTCTATTACTGTAATGTTTTATAAAGAGATATATTTATAAGGGCAGGGATGTGGCTTGGTAGTAGAGCACTTGCCTTGTATGTGTGAGGCTCTGGGTTTGATCCTTGGCACCACTTTAAGAAAGCAATAGTGATGTGGTCTGTAATATACAGGCCCTGGAAATCAGGGTCACAGAAAACCCGTCTGGGCTGGATTTGCACATCTGATGCTCCTGGGTAGGTTCTCGGTGCTTTAAAGCATGGCTTGTGAAGTGTTTTTTCATGGAACTTTTCCCCACCCCTGTACCAAGGTAACTTAAATGGGAAAAAAAGAAGTCACACCAAGAGGACACAGGACTTTGCAGAAGATGTTGAAGTTGAGGATGCACCGAGGAAAAGACTCAGAACTGACAAGCACAGTCTTCGGAAGGTAATTTTGACCCCACTTGCCTGGCACACTTGCTGTGTGTCTCAGCTGACGGGATGCAGGAGGGTGTTCTTATTCTCAGCAGGATCATTCTAGATGCTTCTGAGAAGGGCCCTGATGAGAACAAGTTGTCATTCTCCATAGGCTTTAACACAAACTTGGAATATTTGGCTTTCAGGGAAAAAATATTCCAATGTTGTAAATAGTACATGATGTGTAGTTTTATCTTTAGCTCAACACATTGTACTCTGAAAATGACTTACCTGTTGCTTTTTTTTGTTTTGTTTTTTTGGGTTAAACTTGGAGATGCACAGTGGTTAATCCTGGCTCATGCACTCAGGAATTACTCCTGGCAGTGCTCGGACCATATAGGATGTTGGGAATCAAACCCGGGTTGGCCGCATGCAAGGCAAATGCCCTACCCACTGTGCTATCGCTCCAGCCTCTGAAAATGATTTTCTTTTGGGGTATTAGGGTGTAAATACTGATATAGGAAACCATAAAAGTCCACTAGAGGATTTGTTACACTTGACTGAATACATGTGTTGCACTTTACTAAAACATTTAAAAATCTATCATAGACATTAAAAATAGATTTTGGAGCTTCTTCAGTTTATTCGTGATCAATATTATTGTTCACTCAGGATACTGGCTGGGTCGTGTAGGTCTGTTAGATGCTACAGGAAGGAAGCCAAGAGCAAAGCTGTAAGGCTGTACCCGCCCCGGCCAGCGGAACATTCTCCCTGGGCACCCCTGCGTCAAGTTTGTGTTTGAATTCTCTGAGTCATGGGCATACAGCTCATGGCAACAGCTGTCCTCAGATGTCTCTCCTCTGATCCAGTGGCCTTCTATTGGTGGTCAGATGAGCATCGGTTACTTAGCCATCCTTGTATTTGAAATACTTGATTGATCCCTATCACTGCCTCTCCCTAGCTGCAAGCTCTGGTGTGACCCTAGTCATCCTGAATCTCACCATGTCGCCAGGCACCAGAGAATTAGGTCCCCATGGCCATCCAAGTACCATTTGGAGAGGCCCCCAGGTTGTTGAGCTGTTGGGAAGACCACCACCACCCTCAAAAAAAAGTGTTCCTGAAGATTTGAAATACCAGATATGGCGTCAGTAGCTAGGTAGTGCTGTTTCATGAACTCTGGGTCAGGACTGGGGCTGAGGCTTGGTGGAGCGTGTGCTCTCTAGAGTGACAGTGAACCTGGGCTTGATTTCTGGCAGTGCCAAAGCAACAGAATGACTGTTGCGTGGTTTCCCTCCCGGCTTGATTTTCGTAACCCTGTGTCCTCTTACATGAACTTCACCTCCATGAGACCCTATTGCTGCTTCTGCATTTTCTCTCCTGGTTTCCCATCTGCAATTTCTTCTGTTGTGTGCGAGCAGCCTGCAGGAACCAGGTCTCAGCCCGGCTGCAAGGCAGTGCCTCACGGGTGCTGTCGGCTCCTTGGGCACGAGAGGGGTTGTTCTGAGCCCGTCTTTCTTCTTTCCTTTTCATTTGTGAGTTCTGCTTTGTTGCTCATCTTTGTGTGGTTCCTTGGAGCCAGCTTCAGGATTGGCCTCTCAGTGTAGATATTTATGGTGGTCTCCTGGCTCTGACTTCAGGATCTCCACTCTCAATTGCTTGGACAGCCCGGATTGGAAGGATCCATTTCCTCTGATTCACACGGTCTCCATCCTGCATCAGGGAATATGTTAAATTAGATTCAGGGCAGAAAGCACTTTACTATCTTTGAGACCTTGGGTCTCATCCCAGCACCCAAGGGGAAGAGAATTGAGGCAACTGCCTCAGCCTGCCAGTTCCTCCTTCCCTGCAGAGGTTTAGGGTGGGGGATGGGGTGGCATTTTTGAAGAAAGGGAGCTCTAATGTTTCTGACATAGCTTATGGCACTTGTTGGTTCACATGGGCTTTTTGCTTCCTTTCCTCTATCCTTCCCTGTCTCCCACCCTTCCCTTCCCTTCCCTTCCTCCTTTCTTTCCCTCCTCCTCTTTTTTAAACAGAGAGAGATCACTGACAAAATGGCCAGAACAAGCTCTTGCAAGGCCATAGAGGCCACCTCCTCCCTGAAGAGCCAGGCAGGTAATGTGGTCAGCACTCCTTCCTGGTCCCCTGGGCTGGGCAGGGGGCTAGGGCTGCCTGATGGGTGTGTGCAGAATAGCCTGGGCCTGTCATGGCCAGGGGTTAAGGTTGTGCTTGGGGAGGGATCCAAGAAAGCTCTGAAGAGACTCAGATAGTGGAGCTGGAAGCAAGAGGGTGAAGTCTAAAGGGAGTTCTCACATCTCTGGGAACCCTTTGTGTGTAACATACATAGAAGTGTATGTTATAGTAAGTTCAGCTGCATTGTACAGTTTACTTATTTTTTAAATTTAAATTTTATTTAGTTTTCTACTGATTTATACTGAGCTTTTTATTATTTTCAATTTAAAATTATACCATAGAAGTGATTTAAAAATGGAAATGTCCAAGTTTCTTTTTTTTGTCCAAGTTTCTTAAAGGTGATGGAACTAATTGTTGCTGTAACTCGCCACCTTTCATCATCTGAAGATTATATGTATATTAGCTAAGAACAAAGTTGTTTCTAGTTCACATATTGAAGAAAATAGCTCAGAAAATTTTTTTTGTTTTGTTTCTGGGCCATGCCTGGCTCTGTACTCAGGAATCACTCCTACTGGTGCTCAGGGAACTATATGGGATGCCAGGGACTGAACTTGGGTCAGCTGCATGCAAAGCAGGTGCCTTCCCTGCTGTGCTGTTGCTCCAGCCCATGAAATCTTTTTGAAAAATAGCTGTCAAACAGAAATAGGTGGAGGCAGTCAAGCTGTTTTTTTTTCCAAACCTTAGTTTATTCAAAAAATGTTACCAAATTTTTCCACGGGAATACAGATTTATCTTTAGAACTTAATTTAGGAGAGAGGTAATTCTGAGACAGTAGAGAGATTGAGGGTGCAAGATTTCAAACTTTATAAACCAAAATTATTTTACAGCAACGAAAAATCTGTCTGATGCATGCAAACCACTGAAGAAGCGAAATCGGGCTTCTGCTGCCGCACCTTCAGCTCTTGGGTTTAGCAAAAGTTCATCTCCTTCTGCGTCGTTAACTGAGAATGAGGTAAAATAACAATAACAGTGATGACAATGGCGTTCATATGAAAGCCATCTAGCACTCCCAGTAGAAGTGTGAGTAAAGGTCAGACTAATAAACATAACATTGGTGTTCTACATAACCTAGGTGAGTTTTAGGTTTGCTAAGCTGTGCAAAAATCATGATATGGAAAAACATCACTATTTTAGTCTCTCTGAGCCCTTCGAAAGACACATAGAATATATATAAATGTACACGTATATATTTTAGTATCTGATGCAGTTTAATTGTACATGAACTCTGTCTAAAGTGTTCTACATAACCCTTACATTGGAATTTCCTCCAGTAAGTCAGTTTGCTTTGGTTGGGATAGAACACACTGGATCAGTTGACACTGGTCCTGGTGCAATGCCCCTGGTGGGCTGAAGGGGGTGCTCACACGCCATACTGAATCCTGTGGCTTCTGGATTCAGGCTCAGAGAGGAATATGCTCATGTGGTCCATGACTTCCGGTCCAAGCTCTGGTCTTCAGTCCTGGCATCTTCTTAGATCCTTGAATGTTGAGGGGGTGGGGGTCAGAACCATCATTGTCATATGACTCCTGGCTTCTGGACTTGTGCACTGAATAACAGCAAAATAGTTACCTGAGGGGATCACTTAGCAGCACTGTATCATGACTTCCAGATTCATCAGTAAAGTCTTATTGCTTAAAATAAAATGAAACAGCCTCAGTTTATAGGCAGGACATCCAGAAGGCACTCTGGACATCTAAGAGACTGCTCTCAAGAGCTTGTTTTCCAATGTTAATTTGTTGGTATTTTGTTCCCTGTGATTCAGTTTTTCTCATTGTAGACATGGGTCCTGTTTTGATACTGTTTTGAGGGGATGCTAGCCTTGGGCTTTTTGGGAACAGGGTAGTATAGCAGGGAGTGGGCAGACTCTTGCTTGGCCAGAAGGTCACACTTCTGACCTGGTCTCCCCTCCCTGCTCTCAGCTGTGGTGGCTCCCTCCCAGAAAGACGTGGGGCAGACCTTTTCGCTTGTGAAGAGGCCTGGAGAATTGCAGGCCAGGTGGGAAGCCACCATGATGTGCAGAGCACTCTTCTGGGTGGGTGTCTGCGGGCCTCCCCCTGAAAGGCAGAACTGGTGAGGAGAGCCGCTGTGAGGTGCTGGTGCTTCTTCACAGGTTGGGCACATCCAAATAATGCAGTCACCTTTGTATGCTGAACTCTGTAGGAGTTTATTGAAACACAAAAAGGCAAATTCTTTACAAAAGCATTTTCCTTGTCCATGTTCAGGTTAGTATTATTCAATAAATGGAGAAAGGGCTGGGGATGTGACTCAGTGGCAGAGCACTTGCCTTGCTGTGTGAGACCCTGGGTCTGATTCCCAGCACTGCGAACAAGTGAACAATAAATACAAACTCAAAATCCTAAGGATGCTACTGGAAGAAAGTAAATTTCAGTTCCACGAATGGCTTTTTTTATAAATGATTTTTAAATGCAATTTTCTGGCATCATATTTTGGTTCCCTTATTTGCCCGAACTTTTCTTTTTCAGTCCAAAGGAAAATGCTAAGATTCTGTCTGTTACTCCTGGTCATACATAATGTACATTAAAGGCTTTTAGAGTAGCGCACTATTGGCTGATATGGCAGGGGTGGAGATTGGAACAGTTGTGTAAAGGTGGGCCTGATAGGCTGACATATATTCTAGCCAGGGCAAATAGAATCTTTTTGCATTAGACATTTATTCTGATTTCAGGAATACTTAGATGAAGCATTTTATAATCATTGGGTTTAATTGAGTCTTAATTCTGTAGAACTTGAAAAGTACCCAGATCATTATGTACATTTTTATTAAATACATTCAAATCATGTGCCTTTTGAGTCTCGTGGGGGTTCCCTTAGCGTGTGCATTCTGTTTCTTACACCAGTGTTCATGACTTTAGGGGCATTTTTCATCAGGCCACCTTCTTGGGACTTGCTAGTTTTCCTAAAGGGCTTATCACAGAATTCAGACTCCCTTAGGTGAGCAGGAAGAGTTAATTGTCATGGGGTCACACTCCTGAAGCATAGTATTTACAGCGATAAGCACATGAAACAACATTTCAGACATGTACTGTACGTGGCTGGGTCGAGTTGTGATGGGATTTAGGTGATGATGGGAGATGCTCTTTGGAAGTTCCGACTGGCCCCCTTTTCAGGTTACATGCCCTTTGCATGTTTGTATTTCCTTTTATCACCCTTGATTGAAGTAAGGGGGTTTCATGGGGTGGTAATTTAAGATATTTAGGCTCTTTTGTGGTTAAAGTCTTCTCAAAAAGGTATATGTGACAAATAAAATTTGTATTGGAATACTTTTTATTAGCATTACATCACCCTACTGACTATAATAGATAGAATTACACACTTGCATGACAAAGACCTGTGAAGGAATTAATGTGATTTAAGTGTCTTGTAACTTCATTTCTTATTCCCTTAGTAGAGCAAATTCTTATTTTTTTCGCCTTCACTGGTAACAGCTTTTATGGGAGCCCACATCAGCCAAGTTGGATTTGAACTCAGCTGCCCTGTACTGCACTTAAAATGCGGTAATGTCCCAAGACGCCTGCTGCAGGTGCTGTATCATCGTACACACTCAGTGACATTCCTATTACAGTCATATTATGGAAGATGTGTGATAATCTGTTTTTACTGGTATTAATAAACACATACAATGAAGAAAACAGATAAAAAATAAATTTAAGACCAAGGTAAGATACCTAATCAAGGTCATTTAATCAACCACATTCATCTCATGATAGAAACACATTCATATTCCAGTGATCAATGTAGATTCCGAGTTGAAAGGGTGCCCTTCATCAGGGGCTGTCCTGGACCTGCGGCACGGACATTGCACTGAAGGGGTTAATCTTCTAGAGGTTATTTTCCTCCTCTAGTTCATAATGTACTGAATTTTTATTGAAAAGAAAGTCAACATCTGTACCTTCAAAAACAAAGAACAAACAGCACACATTAAAAGGAGTTCCTTGTCAACTATTCTCATTGCCAATGGATGTTTTCAATACTGTAGATATTAAACTAATTTCCAACATAAAAGGCAGGAAGAGTTTTGATTCTGTCTTTTTTTACTAAACAGTTTTACTATGACACTAGATATAGTAAATTTGTAGGAAAAATATCATTTACAGTATCATTGTGATTTATTTAACTCTACTCTTTCGAGTCAATGACTGATATCGGGAAGGGAGTGCCATAATCAGCATATTCACGCCTGCCACTTTATCAGTTGCTTTTCTAGAACATCAGCCATCATATTAACTGTCTCGGTCTTGGTTGACCACCCAGGGTCGTGCCCAGGGTGTGCGCATGTTTGCATGGTGAGGAACAGGCCTTCTAGAAGCAGAATGCGTGCTCGTCACGTCTCCCTGTTAATAGCACTGGTTCACACCCAGCAGACTCTTCAGATGTGTTTTACCTTTAATGAAAGTTCTGACTAACACTGTCTTCTGAACCAGTACGTAATGCATGTAAAACACTTAGGGTACCTGGCACTTTGCAAGGACTCAGTGGTTCGCTATTGTGACAATAATGGTTATAACAATAAAAATAATGAAATCATCCTCATTCCATTTTTATCCAAAAATATAAGTTACTGCTTTGGCGTGAAAAGCAATCCTTTTGACTGCATTATGTATGTGGGGATAAAATAAACCCAGGAGTGGTAAACATGGGGTTGTTTTGGTTTGTGTGACACTCTGGGACTCTGAATGTGCCTGAGGGCTGACCAGTTTCTCTGTTCAGATGTAGTAGACACCTCCAAGACAGTCTTAATTAAGTCAGGCTGTTCTTTAATTTTTGAAAATAGGATACGAAAGTGTTGTGATTCAAGAAATAATCACACAAACTAAAGGCTCTTGCTAGAAAGACTGGAAGAATGAGAAGTTTGCTTTGAAACTCTCGCATGGTGAATTATGAATGGGTGGCCAGCTAGTGACTAGCGTTGATGTGTCCACTAGGAGTCTGCCTCTCTCTGTACTGTGTCAGTGGGGGCTGAGGCGAGGGAACTGTGCCGGGTGTGAGGGCCTGAGAAGGTGTGCACCTGGCCATGCTCTCAGTTGGGGGCGGCCTTATCCTACCAGGATATGGGAATGAGGAGCAGGCAGATGAGTAGGTGTCCTCAGTATCCTGCAGGGACAAAGACAGGCACACTAGACTGGAAGGTCCTGCCTCGGATTCTGGGTCTGGTCTTTCTATGGACTGCCGGGGAGGAGAGCTCCTGAGAGGCCCACACGGCTTCCTGAAGGAAGGTGAGTGGGAGAGAAGCTGCCTTGACTTGCTGGGGGATGAGCAGTAGTTCAGTCGCACGTTCCTTCCTCTGTTCAGTCGAGTCAGATCATTTAAAGGGCCAGTGGCTGGGCTGAGCTCCTTTCAGTGGTAGTCGGGTGGTGTTACAGGTCGGGGTTCGCCTGTGTGCCTGCCATTGGGCTTGGGGAGGAGGAGCTCTGTAGCCTGAAACCTGTCTGCGTACCTGCGGTACACAGCGGCTGTTTCGAACGTGCAGTCTTACACTGTAGTGGAGCAGTACCTGAAGGGCAGGTGTTGATCACAGAGGCTTGGTTTGTCCAGAACTATCCCTGCTACAGAGCTCACCCTCCCCACCCCCACCCCCCACCTTGGACTTTTCTTCAGAGTGGTGCAGAGTTGAGTGTCTGCATCTGTAATGATATGACTTCGGTGTAGACACATCTCAGCACTTGCCCTTAGTTGTGTTATGTCTCCCTGTCCGCTTTCCAAAAGGAAGTCTTCTGATGTGAAAGAGCTTGAGAAACTGCCTGCTCCGTGCCGGGCGTGAGGCATCCCCCTCCACTTCTGGGGGACTCCCAGTTTCCACTGAGCCATGCAGAAGCACTGTGAGATTTAGGAGCGGGGGCCAGGGCTGGGTCTAGTGGGACCTGGCTAAGCTGGGCCTAGCGGGATGTTCCTCTTGGTGGTGAAGTCTACCAGAGGACAAGCAGGAGAAAATTG